AATCGTGAGCTTATGCCAGGGCCCTGGCCATATGCAGCCCTGCCTTTACATGTAAGTAGAGATCTTTACACACAACAGCAGACACCTGGCAGGCCCTGTGCTGACCTAGCCAGGAGCTCTGGGACTGAGCAAGCTCTCTCTGGGCCTCAGTTACTAGTCTCATAAGAAAGAGGCCACACATTCCTTGACTCACTACCCTTTCAACCCATGGTCTTGAGGACTGAGATCAGCCATTCAGGACTGTGCAATACCTGGGGTTACTCCCTCTCGTGCCCTGCTTCTGCCTCCCCCAGCTAACGTAGAGGCAGGATGGGATCCAACCAATGGAGGAACATGGGGAACCTTACTGGAGACAACTTACAAGTTCAGACTTCAATGTGGCTAGTTAAAAGGCTGATAGTTGTGTTAAGAGGGCACATGTTTCCCCAACAGAGGCACAGGTCCTTGTCCTATATGCTATGGGGTCTCAGACCTCACTAGACACACAGGCTGGGGATGGGTAGAGGGGCTACCAATCACCTGAGCAGTCCTTCTCTCTTCCAGTCATGGCCCACCCTTAGTGCACCAGCCCTCTCTCGCCTGTCTCAATGTCTGTTCACCATCTCTGTCACTGCCTTTCGAGGATAAAGCTGACATCAGGAAGTAGCCCGTAACAGTTTTGACTAATCTCTTAAATGACCCCTACACCCCTACAAATTTTACCTAATTACTGCACAGAGACCCTGTCTCCACCTCTAATCCCAAGTCCTATCCCACCTGCCTGTATCCTCCACCTTCCCTACAGAAAAAAATTATTTCAAGCCAGAGACACAATTAGCATGTGACAATCTAGGTGTGACTATGGAGGGCAGTGGGTTACCCTGCTTATTACTGTCACGTGACTACATGTCCTTGGGGCAATGCATGTGCAACAGTGCCACAGTGTGCCCGTGTGACTCCTGGGGGCATCTGTGTATAGCTGTGCCAACGAAGACTCATGCACCGTTCTGGGGGTCTGGCAAACAGCTCTCCCCGCACTCACCCTGTGGACTGTGTTTCTGGGTGTAGACAGCGGCAGCGGCGGCAGCAAGCACAGCACAGCAGGCCCATGGGACAGAAGCAGCCATCTGTTGGGAGAAATGGGTTGTGGAGGGGCAGCATCAGCCCAGGCAGGAGCCCCCTGGTGGGGTTGGGGTCCTGCTCACACGGGGAAGGCTGGGAAATCTCAGTTCAGGGGCTAGGGCACTTTGACCCCAAACACCCTTTTTAATGGGGCTCGGGATTCCCGTTTCTCGAAATGGAAGCCAGCATATTGGCACCTGTGGGGAAGGACTGCTTAGATGGTAGAAGACAACTACAGTGGTTTGTCATTCAATAAGAGTGCTGACTGCAGAATGTAGTCAACCGAGGATGAGTTATAGAGCACTGGTAACGCCAGGGCCATTTTTCAAAATTAAAAAACATCTCTACCAGTGAGCTTAGCTAATTAGGTATCCACACCGCAAACTGCGAGGCCGGTACTTTAGCTTAATTGAAGGTCTGGATTTCTCCAAATTGCCTTGAGTATAAGGCCCCCTGCCGTACTCCTGGGGAGAGAGCCTGAAACCTGAATGCTCAGGAGACCCTTCATCTATCACTGGCCTCTACCCAGACTCCTACTGGGCTCTGGGAAACTCAGGGTACCAAGACAGTGGCACGCTAGCCAAGCCAAATGCAGCTCTGGCTTTACTGTGTATCAGTGATTAAAAGAAAACAAAGACTGTTCATATATAAGTCCTTACCAAGAATCCCAGACCACTCCTCACCTCAGAGAAGTGTTCTCAGCAGCCTGGGACCTGAAGCCCAGGAGAATTAGTGTCTACATGTGCACATGCAAGTACACAAAGTAATTCAGGGCATGTCCCCAGAAACCAGGAAGAATTCAGTGGTCCCCCACTTAATGTCCTGCCTCCTGGAATCGGTCCAATTCCCCACCCCAGCATATGCTCAGATCTGAGGCAGGGAAATAACTATTTCCTGTAGGATAGTCTCTAAGTGTGATAACCTTCCTCTTCCAAACTGAGGATAGAAACAGAGAAACTGTCAAGCATGCAGAAGCAGAGACCCAAAGACAGACACCAGGGGAATCTTTGAGATGTTTAACCATGGCTGCTGTCTGGTCCAAGCAGCCTCACAGTAGACCTTGGCCAGAAACACTGCCGAAACAACTAGCCATAGCCCCAAACAATCAGCTCCACACTAGAACTGTGAGCAAGAGCATCGGATGATGCATACAGCCAGATAACCAGACCGGGAAGTGATCAGAGGATAGCCAGCACAACCAGAGAAGCAGCCAAAAACACAGCAAGCTGCTCGGCCAGACCCCAGCCGAGGAAGAGCAAGAGCACAGGCAAAGAAACCAGCAGTGACACAGTCAGTGCCAGAGACACTGTCAGAAACACAGCCAGGGAAACTCTGACACACAAGCAGAGAAATTGCTAGACACAAACAGGCACACACTTAGACAAAAAGCTAGAGAGAACCAGAGCCACAGCCGGATGCTCAGTCAGGAAGTATCCACACCACTGAAAACACTGCCAGAGACACTGTGAGGGACACAGTCAGACAGACACTCTGCCAGAGACACTGTCAGGAACACAGACAGAGATAGCATCAGAAACACTGCCAGATACACCCAGAGAAAGTGCCAGAGAGACCACAGCTGTAATGAGGGAGAGGAAGGCGGGCAGGCATTAGCTGCTGCAACTAGGGTCAAGTAAACCTGACTTCCTGGGAGCTCCTTTATGGCAAGGGGCTTCCACTTGCCTTCTGCTACCCTCACCACCCCAGACTGTTCATCTCCTCTGAGCCTGCTTGTCCTTATGGGCATAGCTACAGGTACACCTGTCTAGTGTGGTCTTTTCCACATTGATGATTCCTAGGGCCTTGGTTACCTTTTGGCCAGGTTCCTTATGACCCTCAATCACTCCTCATCTTCAGCTACTCCTTAAGCCTAAGATATTAAGACAATGACCAAAAACACATAACTAGTAAATTACAAAATGAGCCCAAGTCAGCTAGAATTCAGAGCTGCTTCTGGAGAAAAAGAGACAGACTGGAATCCTACCTGGTCCCCCCAACCCCCACCCCAGCCTTGGAAGGAAGCCTTCAGATCCTCCCCCTCTATCTCTGCCATCTGTCCATGCTTTTCTCCTAGACCCTCTGCCTCAATGCCAGTCCACTGACCACCTGGGAACAAGAACCAGGACACAGGTAGGTAGGTAAGCAAGCAGAGTGGATAGAGGTTAGATCTAGAGGGAGGGTCAGAGAGAAAAGAGGAAAATCTCTGCTCCCTATTCCTTCTAGATCCTAGTTAGGCTGGAGGAGGATATATCCAGGACAGACACACATGCATCTTTCCCAGCGTGCACACACACACACACACACACACACACACACACACACACTCACACTTTCAGGCCCCAACAGGGGGAGGGGAGACTTCTTCATCAAAGTCGCCTCCATCAGCCCGATGAGTTACTGTAAGGGCCGGGCCCTGGGCCAACGGGGCTGCAGCCACAGGAGACGGGTGCTGCTGAGAGGAGAGCTAGCGCTAGCTAGTGCTGCAGAGAGTGGGAGTGGGGTACCAAGACAGACACTGCAGGGTCTGGGGACACAGAAATGGGAGAGTCTTGGGTAGGGAAACAGGCACGGTGAGGCAGAGGGCTGAGTGGATACTTAGAGGGACAGGAGCAGAGGCAGAAGTGTGAGAGGAGACATAGGGAAGAAGACAGGGCACGTTGGGAACTGCAAATATTATACAGCAAATGGAAAGACAGACACAATGGCTCTCTATGCCTACCCTAGATCACCTCAAGAAGTCTGTGTAACTTCTAAAGCTGGAAGGGGCAGGCAGTCAATGCAGCAGCCAGGATTGATAAGGTGCAAGAGCAGGTTCTTTCTGGGTTTGGAAGGGTTCTCACTGGGGATCTAGAAGCCCAGTCTCTAAGAAAAGGGTGAAATTCACCCTCACCCCTCTGCTTCTGCTGATACAAAACAATAGCAAAACAGGCCAGGGCGGTTTCACTTCTACTTCTCGTCAAAGCCCCAGTTAGGCCCACCCCCCAAATGGGAAGCTAGAAGCATCCAGAAGGTAACACCATCTCCCTGCTCTCAATCACCTCCAACTCCCATCTCAGGGCAAGTAACTCCTTTCTGGGGAATTTTCTAAGTCCATACTCCATGAGTCTAGGATAGATCTAGATGATAAATGCTATACAATTCCAGGGAGGTGGGACACTGACCTAGGCTCCCTTATGGTAGAGGTTAACCCCAGAATAAAGGTGGAACAGAGTGCCCCAACAGAATGAAAGCAGCACAGTGCCCTGCAGCACAAAGTTCCCAGCACTTCTCACATGGAACCCCAGTGTCATCATTATTTACACCTACATACAAGACAAATCCCAGGGCTCAAGTTTAGTGTCACTGTCCCACTGTGACACAAAGACACTATCATAAGGTGATAATAAATCAGCGAAAATGATACAGTTGCACTGCTCACAATGACACACAGAGATGTTGACAGTCATCACAGTAACAATGTTGCAGTAAGTGACAATCACAATGACACCAACAATGCACTGACACTTGTTGAGATAGATACAGTCACACAGAGCAGCACATGGTGACATAGAGATGTTGACAGACTCAGTAACATACAGAATGATACCAGTTCACAGAAATGTTAGCACCCATGGAAGCTGACAGTCACCATTAGTAATACTGCCAGACACAGTGACAAGCTCCAGACTGGGGATTTTTAATTACCCAGTTTTGGAGTCTGGTTTAGGATCCAGGACCCCAAGACCATCCTTACCAGGTCCAGCAATGTCCCGGCTGCCCTATGCCCCCACCTCACTTGTTGCCTGGCTAAAGGTACAATCTAGGGGAGGCTCTTTGGAAAACCCCTATTATGCCTGCAGAGCCACAGCCAGAAGTTTGAGGAATCCCCGACAAAACCAGGTTGGGCTGGGGGTTAGGAGTACCACTGATTGGGTCTCAGCCACAACTGTGTGTGAGTGTTGATCTGCAGTAGCGTGTCCTAAGCTACTGGGTGGAGACTGGTTAGAGGGTCAGGAATGTTTGTTTTTGGCCTTGACAGTGAGGAAGGGCAGCCTCATGCAAGTGACCTCAAATCAAGGTTAACAAACCATCTCCAAGTTGGGTAATTGAGATTCAGTGGTCACTGGCCAGGACTCCTTTCATTGCCCAGCACAGGGCTGAAATGACTCTTTCACAGTTTCCTGTCCCCATTGACAACTCCAAACTCCAAAATCCCACAGCATGAGTAGGAAGGGTACCCTGGGTCTTCGCTTCCTTCTCATCTTCTCCCAACAACCCTAAAGTCCTATGTATGTATGTATGGGCATGAGGCAAACACCCGGGACACATTGAAATGCCTGGGAAGTCAGCAAGCCTCCACCTGTCAAGAAGTTAGGGTGGAGCAAGGAAGACAGGAGGCATGGGGACAAGGATAGGGTGAACAGGGAAAATGAGCCCTGGCCTGGACAAGCAGGGCAGGAAGCTCCTGGAGAGGGAGGAGGAGCCCAGGCTGGGAGCCCCCCAGATCCCACCAGAACTAGACAGCCTGGACAGTGTGGGTGGTGGGGGACGGTAATAGGCCTGAATGGTTCACAGACTGGATGGGGAGGCCTGGCTTCTGGCTGTTGGCTTCAGTTTCCCTTACCAGGGATGGGGAAGGTACAGGTCAGGGGCCAACTTCTGGGTACAGGATCCCACTCAACAGTAGTAGTATGTCTTCTTCCTGTCTTTCTGACTCTCTTGTCTCTGTCCTCTTCCCTTCTTGGAATCTAGACCTCTTCCTCTCATCTCTTGGTGCCACTACCTCAAAGGCCATAGGACATAGAAGCTGTGACTGAGGTTGGACTTCAAGCCTTGTTCTCCTCCTGGGCTGCCACACCCCCTCCCACTATGGGGCTAGCGTCAGTGCTCTGTGCCACCATGGGGAAAGGATGTCACACCAGCACAAGTGCCCTCCTGCTGCTTAGAAGGGGTAGGATAGGCTGAGTACCAGTAGGAGGGGGCCAGGAAGGAGGCAGGGGGAGCAATCCCCCAGCCCCCGCCAC